GCCAATTTTCAGACTGCAATGTGTCACAAGCAACCATGAAATTAGAACAATTTTATTTGGAGGATTGTTGACCTGGACATCGTGAGAAATTTCATTCTCTTTTCCACTTTAATAATCATAATCTTTACATTGGGTATAGTGCCTTTCATTCCCAGAGGACATTTCAAAGCACTTCACGGGATATACTGTAAAGTACAGTTACTCTGTGTTTTGTGGGGAAATGTGACAGTCAATGACTCAGGGGAGAGTGTGCTATCAACTGAGACAGACAGACACACTTGTCTATTTGGCAAATGCTTATATAACTCACCATTGTAACTATTGCATACTTCAGCAGTGTTATTCTTTGAACCACTGAACTGTTCTGTAAGAAAGTGCATGATAGCTAAAATTGATTAATTTAATTTTAACAAACTACATTTGATGAGCCTAATGTCAAATTTAAATCCACCCACCTTCCAAAATCTCCCAATAATATTGGCATCGATACATATAATATTCATACATATTAATATAATTTTACATATATGTTTGGAATAAATCTAACTAATGCTGGTCCTTTGTGGTGTGAATTTGGTGATCTATAATTATGCTATAAAGCATAATTTATTTGTTGAGAATGCATTACTTTGCCCAGCAACCTGGCCATAAAGCATATTTGTTGAGACATAAAGCAGCAACACATCTAAAAACAAACTCAAAGCAAGGGAATAGAGCAGTCTCAGTGAGAGAAGGAATCTGGACGTGTGGAAGCTCTTGTATACTTTAAACACCGGCATAGAATAATTGGGCCAGTTTCAGTGCTGCTCAGTGTATGTAATTCTATGGAGCATGTACATAGGTAAAAAATATTGTCAATCTTTGAAAGAAAATAATGCAGCGATGAAATCCGATCATATGGTATGCACAGATATGAAACAAATTCAGTCACATTAATGAACGTTTAGCACATAATCAATCCATGAAATTAATACTTAGAGTTTGGTGCAAATATTTTAGTGATTGTGGCTTGAAGTTTTGAGGATCTTTTCTCCACTTTAATGGCCAATGAAGGAAGACTGTGAGGCTTATTCTTAACTTGTTGATAAATTTATTGACCTCTGACGAAAAAGTTGACTATAAATTGCATGTCCCATTATATAAACACCGGCAGGTGATAATGGGACAGACAATGGAGGATAATATTTGCTCGTCACTAAATTTATCAGCAATGGAAGAATGACGCCTCCTCCCACCCACTACATTTCTGCATAATTGGCACATTCTCTTTCCTAGAACATTATTGCTAATATGTCATTACCATGTCTTCCTTGTTTCTTTATATCCAAATGAAAGGGTGAAGAAAATATACATCTGCAACATCTTCATAGCAGGTATGCCATGTAATCTATTTTCAATTCACATATCAATCATTCATCAATACACTATTTGAAACATATTTTAGTACTTGTGTAAATATGGGTTATGGCACTAAGAGAACACTGTCCTTATTGTCGCCAAATACAGGAAAATGAAATCACCACTGGTGGCCTGAATCCATCAGCCACCACTATAAGTGCGCAGTTAATAACAATTCTACAAAATCTTACAAATTGATGAGAGATGAACGAAAGCTTGATTGATGAATATAGCAGGTTTCAACTGTTCCAAAAGTAATGCAAGAAGTCCACAAAGCCGATTGATATTAACATTCTTGAGTAATAAATATTAGTTAAATAACTCAGCGTACCATCAATTAAAAACTCTTGAGACTTAGTGCTCCAATGTTAAATGAAAAAAAGTTTTCATCCAACACTGCCAGAACGTGTATTTGTTTAAAAATTTTGCCTCTAATGTGGCATCTTCAGCAGTTATAACGAATATTTTTTGTCGTTGGTTACATTTTCACTTGGAAGCTCAGAAGAGTACTGCTGTACGTACACACACTGCTTACCAATGCACGGAAACAATTTGTCAATAAACTAAGTCCCAGTAAGAAATACTGTCACATGCAATATCAACAAATCTATGAAGTCACTTCAGAAAACGATACTGTGTTTTCAACTAACAGTTCAAGGTTGTAGAAATTTGAAAAAAAAGATTTTTTGCTTCTAAATCTCAGATCGTGTACAAAACTGTCTTAGGAAGATTTATCCCTTGTGTGCACATTTTGTTATTTTCAAAGTAAAAAGCGGTTTATCGGTGCACACAAGGCTTCTCTGCTCAAGCTGAGTTCTAAAACTTGATGTCATTCAAACTCAACACCCAAAATTCTCCAGGTTTAAGGCTTAGAACCATTGCCTTCAATTTTAAGAATGTACCAATATCGAAGAATTTCTACATTGATACGGAAGCGGGCGTTCTTCTGAAAAGGGCAAAAAAATTGGCTTCCAAAATGATACTGAATGATTTTTTTCAAAATTTGTACAACCTTAAATTTTAAGACAATAATAATAATATTCCTTATATTTGATATAGCGGCTTTCACATAAGGAGGACGTCCCAAAGCGCTGCACAGGATTTACTCTAAAATGTAGCGACTCTGCATTTGTAGGCAATAGTCTTAAGCCTGAGACTGTGTGGGTTTTCGGTCCACTGGAAACTAAGAATAGACTGAGGGGATTGTTTCACTATTGTACTATGTGATGTTCAATGTCACTTTGTTACTAAACAATGGCTTTTGGCAAATTTAATATTGCTCAGAACAAGGGGTGCCTTGAGGTTTCTCCCCCTGCGCTAACAATCATTCCCGCTACTTTTTGAATTTCTTAAATAATCATTCTCCTTGCTCATATATGATCCCTGTTCTTTGGGAGCTATGATGTCATTTGTTTCAAGCCTCTCGACTCCTGTCAACACAGTGGCCAGCAACAAGCCGACAATGTCCTGTTTACAGATGGTAGTTCAATGCTATGTCAATACCCTGTGGATTCTGGACCCAACAGCTTAAAAAGACAAAAAGTGCTCAATTGCATTAAGTCTCAGCCTGTTTCGACCTTTTTCTGACTTCAAACTTAATTTGCAATCTGGTTTTCCACAGTTTTTAAAAAGAAAACAGCTCCTAAATTAAGTTTCCACAATTCCTTGGCATCTTAATGTTTAAGAGAAAAGTGCTCATCTTGATCCAAAGCATGGGAGCATTTAGAAGTGCTTCAAGATATTATCCTTCATGAAGGGAGTTATATAAATGAAACTTGTTGTTCTTGGCCTAAACAGGCTAAGACTGGGTGAAATTTGTGGTCACTAATTCTTTTTTCATTTTGAATTGGGATGGAGATAACTTGTGACAAGATAAGCCTTATATAAACTAATAAATGAAATTTTAAGAGTCCCTGGGAATAACTCTGTTAGTTGTCATAGATATCTCCTGCACATGCAAAATGGAAGAACTGGAAATGCGTAACAGTCTGATATATCCTGCTGTCAATGGCAGCTGAAGGATTTTAATCAGGAATAAAGGTGCAATAGACATGTAGCAGAAACGGTCTGTTATCACCTTCCCTGTTACATTTCTGGAGCATTTTACAGTAATACAATACCACTGAATTTAAGCAATTAAATTGTAAAAATACATGGATTATTGATTGCAGCAAGAAGGAACAACAGCTAAGCAGCTGAACAATTGTGCTGTGAAATCAGATGTGAAGTCATGTGGGATTTAGAGGCCAGTATGGCATTTTCACGTGATTTCAGTGAACAGATTTCTGCCCTTGTTTCCAGGTAAAGTGACAACTGATCTACATGGGAAAAAAGGCTGTCTTTTGTTATCAAATGTACAAGGAGAACGCATTTTTAGCAAAAGTTAAAATAAAACTATCATGTTCCACAGTCGCTCTCACTTGAGAGAGTTGTTTAAAGTTTCGCTTGTTGAATTGTTTAAAGTTTGTTTTTTTCCCAGCTTCAGAAAAGTTGAATTGATGGTTTACTGTTATACTTCTCATTCATAAATCAACAAAAATTGACAAACTAGGAGAGCAAAGGAGTGTTTGAAATTGTTTTCAATTTTACTTGCAGACCATAACTTAATTTTCATGTAAACTCACCCAAGTCATGCTTTCAAACTCAGCAAAGGAAATGATTCCATGAAAATAAGTGAAATACAACTCAAGTAAAGATAAAAAGCTAAGTGCCTGGATAAGGGAGGATGATATGAACCGAAGAACGAGCAGAGAAGAAAGAGCGAAGGATGGGAGATAGTCACTTGCCTACCAGTTGCTCTGTTGTTTTCCCGCAGCTTGTTAAGTTGGTCGTTTGTTCAGTAAATAAAACGAGGATGGTTATCAATGAGAAAGATACAAATTTATACAAATTGCTTTGCAACAGGACCTTCTAATTTCCATGCAGCTTTTATCTGTCTGTATCCCACTGTGTCACACATCTTTGTGGCACTATGGGCATAGTGCAGTTGTGCTAAATTAAAATAAAGAATTTTAAAATTGTCAAAATATTGCTACCTGCTGTATTTTGGCCTGAATTTCTACCTAGTCTTATCCTCCTGGGGGGCCATTTTTGCTTTACATTGTAAGATCCCATACAATTCTCTTAAATCGGAAGCCCGTTTCCCGCAGTTGTTAAAAAACGTGCCGGCCAGCTTCTAAGTTCAGACTGAATTCAAGCATTTTCAAAAATTCTGTGCAACCTTAAATTTTAAGACAAAATTTAAGTCTTACATCTCTCATAAGGAATGCCCTTGCTTCATTTCCTCCCCTGTGTCTCCCCCCACCTCCAACACATAATAGTTCCTTCCAGTGTATATAATTTATTGGCATCTGCAGTTCGAATTCCAAGCAATCAACTGTGCAACACGATAGAAAATAAACAGATCCTATTAATTCATTTATCTTGGTCAGCAGTTCCCTCCCCCCCCCCCCCCTCCCACCCCCCCAACTACTGTGTGGGATGTGAAAATACAGAAAGTATTAGATAATGACTATACTGTTGTTCATTTATGGTTGTTTTCAGTTTGCATAATTCACCCAATGTCACTGCTGATTTTTTAAGGATGAGTCTAGAAGCAGCTATTCATTCCCTTTTGATTGTTTATTTGTTTTAATGCTCGAATCATTGGTAACTGATGTCTGCTTGAGTTCGGAAACTAGTCCTGCTGATGTATGTCCTCACGCCTAATGATTTTGTAGATCACCCAATAGAAAATGTTGAAAATTAAAAAGGCTAACGGAAAACCAGCTCTCGCTACTGTGTCAATTTTCTTGGCTCTGTCAATGAATAGCTTTCTCATGTCATCTTGGCTTTTCGGTGCAGGCAAGCTATTTGATCCTTTTCCAGGAAGTCCATCCTTCGGTTGCAGACATGGTCCCATCCCATACGCACTGAAGCTAAATCGGCTTTCTCTCACCTCATCATCCTGCAAAGGCAGTGAAGCATTAAAGTTACTCACGTTCGGCAATATGTGATCAGGGCAACAACAAACAATGCTTACATTCTCTGCCCCCACCAACCCTCCATACCACCAGCACCACCACCACCTACCCTTCCAAATGCAGCAACAGATGGTGTTTACATCTACCTGACATGTTAACATATCATGGTATATTTTTGCATAATTCAGTCTGTGAATCATATAATCTGAAAAACTAAAGGTTGAGAAGTATAACGTGCAAGTTTATCTTTTAGCCACTGCAGTTTCTCTTGTGCCTTTTTCCGTTTTATTTAAGCCTCTTGCTGTGCTGTTCCTTGCAGGCGATATTGTTTCTGTATTTTAGCCAGTTTTTTTTGAGTCAGCACGGCCTGACTTAACCCTTCCATTGCTGACTTTGGGGGCAATTTCTCTTTGTTATTGTTCATTATATTCATTACTCCAATTTATTTAGCATCCTCAGCGTTCGCCATGAATAAAGTAATAGTGTTTAGCATTAGAGGCCCTTTAGCATACTCTAGTGCGTTGATTGCAATATAAATTCTTTTCAAACAGCTTTGTTTTTTTGATGTATCTTTACACTGTTCAAGATGAAGATGGCAGGTTTGAAGGGAATGAACAGTTTCCTATTTTGCACAAGAATTTCCCAAGACAATATAATGCAAGCCAGATGAAAGGAGAACCTTCTCTCCATTATCCTGACAATGTAGCTAAATTTCCAAGTCTATCAGCGTGGCAGACCCTAACTGCATGGCATTTCCATTTCCCATACTTCAATTACATTCTTATGACCTGTCTGAGTGAGATTAGCAAATGAGTACCAAGCGAGCCAAACTGAAGCACATTCTTACACTGTGAAGTGGACTTAAAACCTACGGGAAAGGGACTGAGGCCGCAGCAAACTGAGGAGCATTAAAAGCTATCAACTCATCATTGGTAACTGGATTTCAATCCAGGTCACAAGATGAAATAACTGATCAAATCCTTCAGGAGATCCATTGTGATTTGTTTCATAGAGGTTTAAATTTATTATGTCAGGAAATCAAATTATTGTGTCAAAATATGTCATTTAACACCATTTAACACACTTTATTAATAATTATATTTGATTAAGAGTGTGTCATACCAGGTAGGGTGGATGCAGTCAAAAAAAAGGCTTAATGCTGTAATGGGAAGAGCTTAGCTTGAGGCCAAATGAGGCCGAAATGCCTTTTTCATCCAAACCTCTCGTGATCTTGTGATGAGGGACTTAGGAATACTTGGTACCCCTGCTGGGCCTTGTTAATCAGTTTATGGAGGTTTTTGGGCAGTATTATTGCTTTTGACACCTGTTCCTAAATACGGTCTCAAAAATGCATTGGAGTTTTAGAAATGGTGGTAAATGGTTTTGTTTATTCCAGCAATAAACCGTAAGAAATGTGCGAACACTGGGAAAAAAAATCACCTGAATCTCAAGATATAGAGGTGAGCAGCAGCGTTAATGATAATAATCCTTCCATTTGATATAGCACCTTATCACGTCTTTGAGACGTCTCACAGAATATACTGTAAAGTGAATTGACTGTATATTTTGTGGGCGGAACAGCTAATGATGCTGTCTTTCTCAAGGCAGGACCATGGTTGAAAACAGCATTCACAGAATGTCGGTGGCAGCTTCAAGAAATAGAAGATTTAGTTTGTGCTGAATTTCAGGATGGTTCTGCATGGGAAGGTGCTGACTGGAGATCAGTCATCTCCACAGAGCTGAGATCTGGTGGGCAAGACAACAAGCCATATCCCGGGAACTGCCCTCCGACTTGCGTGAAAGAATGAGGGTCATTGAGAGTGGGTAAAGCAAACAAAACAATATGCAGTTTTGTTGCCCAGACCAGTTTCAACGGTGAATGGAAAGTTAAATAAAAAATGATTTTATATAAGTGTATTTCATTAAGTGATAACATAACAAGCATATCCTAAATGAGAGCATTTAATGCATTTTTGATAAGTGCATTGTATAAAGGAGGAAGAGGAAGAAATAAGAATTAAAAAAAGTTTTGATTCTAAATACTTTTCTTCAGTAAACACTTAAATTAAACAAGGGAAATATGACACAGTTTGTTACATTCCTTAAACAGTCAAACACCACGCCATATTTGAAACTGTGGAAATATAGGATCAAAGGAGTTGCTTAATTAATACTAACAAACATAAATCTAACAGGCCATGCGAGATATGAAGAAACTCTAGCCAGGGAAACACTTTGATGGTTTAAAATGAGTGTTAGCATTGACATCAAGACATGTATTAGGGACACACACTAAAACAAAAAAGGATGACACAGGGGTGTAACACATGACTCACATCATAAAACCTCAGATTTAGCTACTTGAATTCAACATGATTTTAAGGTACCTCTCCTGTTTTCTGAAATAGATGGTCCCAATGCAAGGATCAAATGCCCTTACAATTATTGTTTGTTAATTACAAATTATTATTCATCAGTTTATGAAATACTTATTGTTATATCTACATGAGAGAAAGCTAAACGCCCCCTAGTGATGACCAATAGAGGTTTATGGACCTCATTAAGGAATCTGGTCTCCCAGGAATAATTATTTCATATTGGAGTAGTTTAATCGGCAGGGAATGGACTCGGCATCATCGGGTTTCTAAATACCCAATGGATTTTTTTTTAGCCGATTCACAAATGTGACTTAGTCTCGACATAAATAAATATTTTCAATTCCCAAAGTTTGCATCAGTGATATGTAGCAAAACAATTTTTAAAAAATATTCATTGAAACCATTGGAACCAACAGAGAAAATTATTACTTTTCTGGGCTTTCATCAAACGTATTTTACATTGCAACAAAATGTGCACATGTTCAAATGTAACTTCTCGTGGATGTACAGTATGTGGAAGGCTGAAGCTGGCAACTAACCAATTGTCCCTAGAATGATTAGGTTATAAAATCCCTCAAACAATGTAGCAGGAGAGGAGGGAGGGAAGTGGGAGAGAAAGGGGTTGTCACTGAATCCAGATTGTAACATGATGCAGAGTGTAAACTAGGTGAAGCATAACAACAAAAATTGTGTTGTTGAAATTAGCAGAACTCATTAAATAAAGTGCTCAGGAAATCCATTTAAACCTGGGCATTAAAGTGGAATCTTTGCTGAACTGAATATCAAGCAGTGTTTATTTTTATTTCTGTTTTGCTCCTGTTGTATTGTAAGGACAGAGCATTATAATGGACATTCCTGAGGTGTTATTTCAGTAGTTGGAGCAGGTGTTGGTGAAATGGCTCAGCACATCCTGGGGTTTGTTCCATCCCAGGGTGAAGGACTGGATGTGTGGTCTCTCTCTGACTGTGAGAGCTCTTCCCATTTGCAATGAGCTTTAGCAGCTTCAGTGTGGTTCTTGGCTCTCAGGGATGTTGAAACTACAGCACATAACTGGCTTCAATTCAAGAACAAATATCGTTCTCACTCAGAGGTCACAAAGAATGCTGGCATGGGATCAGGACAAACCAAATACACTACGTGGTATTCTCCTGAGGTAAGGGAGCATGATATTGGGGCAAGTGAGTCAGCGTGACCCTGCGACCAGCACTGCTAAACCTGATAACCAGAAAATGTTAAGTGCAGAAATATGGATCAAGTACAAAGGTCTTTAACGTTCATAGGCAAAATACCCAAGGATTGTGCACTCAAGATGTCGGCTGTCATCTTCATTACAATAAGCAAAAGGCAAAATACTGCAGATGCTGGAAATCTGGAATAAACACAAAAGTCGCTGGGAACACGCAGCAGGTCAGGCAGCATCCATGGAGAGAGGAAAATGAGTTAAAGTTAAAGCTCAATGTTCTGACGAACTGTCATTGACTTGAAACGTTAACTCATTTTCCTCTCTCCATGGGTGCTGCCTGACCTGCTGTGTGTTCCCAGTGACATCTGTGTTTATACTTCATTACAATAAGTATTCATTTTGCCTGAGTATTTTCACTTACTGCACTCAAGGCATTCCTGAATTTTTTAAAATTTACTCTGTCAATTTTTCTCCTCCAATTTTCTCCTCCCCTCTTCTAATCAAGACATTTTATTCAGTTTGCCTCTACTGGAATACAGTTCCACTCACATCAATTGCCTACTGGTAACTTGCCAAAGCGATCGTTGATTTACTGATTTAATCACTCCGAGACGCTGTCCCACATGAAGGGCACTATATAAGTGCAAGTCTTTGTTGTTGTTAATCTCCCCCACCTTCTGGAACTCCATTCTTCAGTCCCTTCAGCTTGCCCCAGCCCTCCCCGCTTTCAAAAGACACTTTAAACCTATCTGTCTGTACTCACGTTTAATCATTTACAACCCCACCTCCCAGATCCCCCTATCCCCACCCTCCAGCTCAGGTTTTCATTCAGCTGTGTGAAGTATTTTCAGACATCCTCCCGATGTGGAAGGTACTTTATATGTGTAAGGGGCTTCTGTTGTTGCCTGAGTCTTAAAAGTGACTGGTGGCAGTTTTCAACCTCAAAGGGAATCACAGCCAAGACTAATCCTGTCCTCACTAGACACCTACGTACACATATCTTCCAACAGGGGATGTCTGAAACTTTTATGAGTAGGAACCCAGGCTGATTTTTTTCAGTCTAACCCATCAGGAGACACTGAAGTTAATTTAATAATAATAATAATTGCATTTGATATAGCACCTTATCACATTGTTGAGACACCTCAAAGTGCTTCACAGAATATATTGTAAAGTGGATTGACTGTATATTTTGTGGACAAAATGTGACCGCCAATTGCACACAGCAGTGCCCCACAAACAGTCGTGAATTGAGTGACCACATTTTTCTTGAGGAATTATTACTCCCGGAAAGTGATGCGCCAATCGACTAATAACCGGGTTCCTATGTACTGCTAGGTAAACAGAAGTGTATGGAGAAAGCAAACTTGCCTAAGGTTTCACCGCACCCAGGAATCAAACCCGGCTCCTCTTGCTTGCGAGGTGAGCACATGCTAATCAATATGCTACCGAACTCCACAATTGTAGTATCTCAACTGCTGGAATGACTAAATTCAAATAACACAGTGCAGAACAGTAATCGAATACCCAACCTCAGTTGGCATAGCCTTCTACTCATTCGACAGTATGTTTACTCACAAGGCCACCAAAGGAGCTGTGTGTTTCTGGTTTGACACAGAGCAATCAAATCAATTAGCTGAAAAACTTATCTGAACCGATTTAAACCCATTCTAGGTCTCCCCTCTGAAGTAGATGGTTGCCCTTGGGCGTCACAGAACACAAGACAAGATGAATGCAATGAGAAGATGGTCAGTGTTGGTGAGAACCCAGGTGTCTAAAATTAAATGGGTAAAGCAATAAATTGGGCAAAGTACTGGAAGACTTTCAGTGTTTGTGGAACAGAATCATATCCCAGATAATTAAATTCTTTTAAGAGAGGGGGAAAATCAAAATCGCCAAACCACATTCCTTTTTAGTACTGCATGGAATTTCAGATTTAAAGGTAACTAAAATACAGATTACTGATCTAAGCAAATGTATTCCCTTTAATTCTCAGCCAACGTAATCACTGTTAAATTGTACCTACTAACATTGCTCCTGCCTCTATTTAACTGAGTGCTCATTCCAACAAACCACAACAGTTATTGACTGCATTTTCCAAATGTCTGTCTAGTACAGATTTGTAAACATACTGTGCACTTTGGTAATGTGATAGAATTAATGCTGTACTGCTCCTTCTTGGGTTCATTCAGTTAACACTTACACCAGTAGTTTTCATAGAAGCTACATTTAATATTAAGATCAATGACAGCAACTGCTCGCTACCTTTGTAATAAACAAAATGCGTTTATTACATTTATGAAGTGCGGGAATAGAACATACTTTCTTCTTCCACATTCAAACTCTCTCCTTCACTCTTGGGATAAAAATCATTCATGTGCGATGTCAGGAAATTCGAAAGTCTTTGAAATTGAACTTGAATCTGCAGGTGTATCTCCAGGAGGTACAAACAACCGAATGTTATATCTATATGTGGGTGGGTATGGTTATTCTCAATGTACCACAGCAGCAAGTTTATACGTTAAATGCTCTTTTGCGCTCTGAAGAAACCTTGTAAGATACTAATGATCCTTGCAATTGATTATTATTATTACTATACAGTTCCTTATCACGTCTTTGAGTCATCTGAAAGCGCTTCACAGAATATACTGTAAAGTGAATTGACGGTATATTTTGTGGGCGAAACACTGCAACCAATTGCACACAGAGTGTCCCACAAACAGTTGTTCATTGAGTGATCAAATTACGATTATTATTATTCTTTTTGAAGGGATTATTACCCTCGGAAAAGCGATCCACCAATCGATTGACCTTACTGCTAGGTAAACAGGCATGTGGAATAGGAACTTGCCCAATGTTTTGCTCTGCTGGGAATCGAACCCAGATCCTCTCGCATGCGAGGCAAGTGTTCTAACCACTGAGTTACAGGACTACAGATGCAAACAAAACAACAACAACAACAAGATTCCATTTATAGAGCACCTTTCACATTGGGAGGACGTCCCAAGGCGCTGTACAGTTGGATCAGGACCCGAGCAGGGGAGAAATGGTCAGGGTGTGGGGAGGGAAGGGAGGGAGCGAGGAGGGGGTAGAGAGTCGAGAGGGGAGCTGAAGGCATGGTCAAAGAGAAAGGTCTTGAGACTGGCCTTGAAGGAGGAAAGGGAGGAAGCGGCGAAGGCACTGGGGGATGGAGTTCCAGGGGCTAGGGGCTGAGAGGCTGAAGGCCCGACCACCGATGGTAGGGCGGTTGGGGCGGGGGATGTAGAGCAGACCGGAGCCAGAGGAACGGAGGGTACGGGCAGGTAGGTAGGGGGATAGTAGGTTGGAGAGGTAGGAGGGAGCAAGGCCGTGAATGGCCTTGTAGGTGAGGATGAGGATCTTGAATTCGATCCTCTGGGGGATGGGGAGCCAGTGGAGGCGAGCGAGGGTGGGAGTGATGTGGTCCTGGTGCGGGACAGTACACGAGCTGCAGAGTTCTGAATGACCTGCAGCTTGTGGAGGGAGGTGGCGGGAAGGCCGGCGAGGAGAGAGTTCCCATAGTCCAGCCTTGAGGTGATAAAGGCGTGGACCAGAGTTTCAGCCGCGTGAGGGGTGAGGTAGTGCCGTAGTCTGGCGACATTCCGAAGGTGATGGAAGGCGGTGCCAGTTGTGGCGCTGATATGAAGGAGAAAGGACAGCTCAGGGTCGAACAGAACACCAAAGTTCCTGACTGACTTTGAGAGGTGGAGAGAAAATGAATGCAGACAGAAATTTAAGCACCAATAAGCAAGAAGAGCTCCTGTTATGGAAATCTTGGTTGGAATATCTTTTGTTTTGTTGGCATTCTTAGTGCTGAGGTTTTGAATCTGAGTGAGATTACAAGTGAACAGCGCTGTAAATGAATATGCTCCGATCAGATATCCTGGTAAGTGGTTGCAGGAAATGGAACCTGTATGCCCGCAATCTCTTTCAGGTTAACTCAAAAAATATCAAACTATGCATTGATAAAAACTGCCACCTGGTTTGATCCTTTATAAGTGCTGAATTGTTCATGTTTTTTCTTTGGATACAATACAACAATAAAGATTCCCCAAATTAATTGGGAAATTAGTTTGTCTCTCGAGTCTTATTTTGAAAAAACATGGAATGTTTCCGAGCAAACTATTCAATCAATGCTGCTGCATAAAATCGTAATTTCTATAAACTTTCTGGTGCTAAACTAATCATATCTCTAAGGTTTAAAGAGGCTCAGTCACAGAAGCAAATGCTTCCTCAGTATCTAACCTTTATCCTGTGCTTTATTACTTACTTGTAATGTGCTTCTCCAAATTTGTGAATGATCCATTTGATTTAATTAAAGGAAGCTAGGGCTGATAACCACAGGCATGTCAAAACCAGGTAACACGGAGAACTCAGATTCAACTTTAATTGGATCCATCCTGGTCTTTCATCTATCTATCTGTCAATGTATTTGTCCTGCCATCTGTCTGTGACTGTATAAATCTAATTATTCCTCTTGCTGCCACTTTCATGCTCCAATAGATCAATATTTAATAAAATGAAGCAAGCCAACTTCTGATGCACTGAGCCATTACAGATCAGAAGTACAGAAGTTAGCAATAATGGTGCAGTGTTTTGGAGATGGAGGAAAGTGGATTTGTTCAGAGCCCGGTTAAAAGGCTTCAAGGAGAAGTGAGGGTTGAACACAATGCTGAGGTTTTGTGAGCTAGAGTGAGCACCTGGGGAAATCAATACAATCAGAGGCTGAGGTGAGGAGACACTGGCAGGAACCGAGCAGGATGGCTTAGGTTTTGTGAGTGTTCAGATGAAAGAGTTGAGGTTCATCCAGAATGTAATGCCTGACAGGACAGTTTGACAGAACAGCAGTAAAGGATCAGAAAGAGGAGACGAATTGGGTACCATACACATTCATGCGCAGCAAGTAGGAATCTGGTTGCAATAATTGGACAAGTTTTGAAGAATCATAACATTAAAGAGTAATGGAAAAAAAGCAGGGGGTGAGAATAGAGTAAATACATCCAGCGAGGGAGCTTTCATCAGCACAGAGACATTCATGGTTTGAATTGCTGCTTTCATTTTCGTATGATTTTTAACACTGGTGATATAGCAATAATCTTATTATTTTCTATGTTAACTTAATAAGCCTCTATCCCCTCCGCCCCACCCACTCCTTCACTCTCACTTTAAATAACTTAAGATTTTTTTTCACTCTACAATACTTAAGTTTTCTTTTCTTTACCCAGAACACAAGTATCAACTGGAACAGAAAGGTGGAGAGAAGGGTGTTTTGAGGATAGTAAACTGGACTCATATAACAAACGGTTCAATACTTGAATGGAAAATTGGTAGGGTGGGTATTCTGGGAGGATGAGATCAAATTGGCTGAAGGGCCTTCTTCATCCGAATCAATCTTGTGATCTTGTGACATTTAACTCAAAAGTTCTTTGAACTAAAACGATTGTTTTCAAAATAACGTTTCCTCGTTATTGTTTGATATCTTCAACTTCTGATTTCTCAATAGGCTAAAAACTGAAGAATGCGTTGAAAATCTGCTGAGTAATTTTTAGCACAACTTTTACTTACATTTTGCAACTCATCGTTCCTCACATAAATTGTTTTTGTCTTTTGAATATCAACACAAAATATTACATACTTAAAGTTATTTTTGGTTAAGATTGATTCATATTTTGCTTGAAGTTACAAATCTTACAATATTCCAACAAGACAGGTACCTTAAAATAGGACTATGTTTCATCACATATGAACAGCGAACAGACTACAAGGGGTTACAGTTCCTACTTGGTACAGACATTAGGTTGACATAAGGACAACTCCTCCACTTATGACTTCTTATCACACAATGACAAATGGGACATTTGCTTGTCATTTTACCCCAAAATTTGAACCGTAGATTTGAGCCAAAGTGCCGTATATTGGTTCGCTGCTTCTCAAGCCATTGCTACGTCGCATGGTTTCTATGTTTTCATTTCCATCAAGTACCCCCTCAACATTCTTTCATCAAAAAGGGTGGGCAAACAAGAGAAACAAAGAGTAATTTATTAAAATAATATACAAGGGTGTCATTCTCCTTTCAATCTTAAAAATTCATATATTTAAGTTATAAAAGTTTTTACACAAATCCGTCCAACAAAAAGAAAACCTTCCGATTTACTTTTGTCATGAAGTTATTTATTTGCATTAAATATGGGTGTTAAAGGTAGCATATGCACTACCTTTTCAATTGGTTCTGTACACAATCTCATTGCAGTGACCCTTCATATGTAAATCACAGAACAGTCCATAACTTAACAAAATACAATGACCAAGCCAAATACATAAGCCTCTTTATAACAAGTGTCTTTAAAGAGCTGCACCAAAAGTTAGTGGCAGTGAAGGGGATGTGACAGAGAGGGTGATCTGTATGAATTCTCAATGGGTGAAAGAAGTAAGCCACAGATGTATGTTCATTGTAGGTTGTGATATATCAAAGAATGTAATAATGAAGGGCTATGGTATGTAAATATATATATTTATAGCGCACGATCAGAATAGAAAAAACTCTTCTAACCTTTTTCTTTTTCCTTCTCCGAAGTCGAAGCAGTTCTTTGTGTTGCCTTGACACAAAATTCACAGCAGCATACTCCAACAGGGCAGAGAACACAAACAGCAAGCAAACCGCCATCCAGATATCAATGGCTTTAACATAGGATACCTGCAGTGAACAATAACATGTGCATGAAATGCACACAAGTGAGTAATTCAACACAAGGTCTGCTTTGTGACTCTTCTTATTATAGGCCTTCAATCATCTGTTCATGTATATCCCTGCTCGCTTTCAATTTAATGAACCTATGACAGTGGCAGTAGAGCGTATACAATTCTGGGTACTAAACATCACCCTTTCTTGTTCTGTCAAGTGGCTAACACAAAACTCAGGCTACATAAATAATAGGTAAACAGGGGCTTGTGGAGGAAGGAAACTTGCCTATGGTTTCGCCCTGCCCAGGAATCAAACCCAGCTCCTCCTACTAGCGAGACGAGTGTTCTAACCATCACACTACAGGACTCCAGTATGAGTTGATTGGAGCGCGAGAAAGGGATGGAAGTGAGCAATGTCGCGAAAATGAAGAAAAATTGTCTTGTTCAGGAAGAAAAGAGAACCAAGGGTTGAACAGAACATCAAGATACATAAAACAGCCTGAAACGGCTGGCTAATTGATCATACCTCACTGTGGTGATGTACTATTGCTTCCATTGGATGGTGAATGAAGGGAACTTGCCATGGAAGCTTTTCCATGCCTGCTCAGTGCTGTCACACTTTAGTAAACCAACACACTGTGCCACAAGGCCATATTATATTTCAGTGGCATTTCCTTAATGCTGGTGCTAGTGTTTCTGCGCAGTCAGTGTTAGCTGATTTCAGGTAAATTATTCAGTGTCCTACCTTAGGAAGCGAAGCTCGAGATCCAGAGCTTTGTGTAGTCATTGTAAGTACTGTTGTGATACCTAAAGCTACTCTAGCAGGAGCTGCATCCATGTTTATCCAAAATGACACCCAGGACAGAATGACAATAAGTAGACTCGGAATATACATTTGAATTAGGTAATAGCCCATCTGTCTCTCAAGATGAAATCTTACTTCAATGCACGTAAACTTTCCTGTTAAAAAAACACAAAGGAAAAACATGCAGACTTGTTAAATCCAGTTCCTGTGAGTATCTTAAGAATTGTCAATGATATTTCAGTGTAATAGAAAATGGAAGTGCATATGTATGAAGAACCCATGCTTAAAACCGTATCAACCGCAAGCCGTTATGTTGATCACATTTAACTTTTCATTCACATTATTTTCCAATTTCTCTTCTTTCTGTCTTTGAGGGAGTACATATCCGCAGGAGCCAGCACCTTCTGGTATCTCATTTAAGTTGCTATTCATCACATGTGGGTCTGGATAGATAGTCTGGAGGCCTATTTAACTATGGGAGCAGCAGAGCAGAATCTGATCCTGTCCTCATTTGCTGTCCGCACATACTCACATTCAACAGAGGTCACTGGATAGCAGTGAAGTCAGAACCTCAGCTGGTATTTCCCTTCCCTAGCCCAGAGGTCATAACACCAATTGTCAATGGAACTTAGTCTGGTTTGGATACTCTTTAGTTTGGTGATGGGTTTCCATATGTATCAGACACCTAGGTCCCAAAGCTTGATATCAGCTTAATCAGCACAGACAGAGGATTTGGACCTGGGTCTTTCTTTTTCATTATACTTTAAAATATAGCTTTGCAGAGATGAATGCATTTTTTTTTAAGCGACAGTAAATTATATTGGGTTCCTGCATTAACAATAAAACAATCAGACTCAGCTCCTACCATCTGGTATTGAATTGGAGAGGACTGTAGTAAACTGGTAATATGCATGGATTTTTATTTAGATAATGCAGTATTGTACTGCACAGAATCTACACATGTGAGGATTATTTACAAATGGACAAATACTAAAGGAGGTTTCATAACACACAAAACCCCAGGTAGTATACTTTATTAAGGAAAATGTGGTAACACATGATCTTAGCTAATTTACTGCGTTGGTGGACAGGCAATTAGTCAGTCAACTGAATAGTGGAGAATTTGTATCCACTCAAACATTAAGGTCAATAAATCCACGAATCATCCTCTTGGCTTTCCGAATTATTGTTCTGAAGAACAATAGGATGCAGATCGATGCAAATCATTCCTCATGTGATGCCTGCCTAATCTCAGAAAGATTAGTGAGGTAAAGCAGATATTGCAATTGTCTCCACAGAAAGATGGAATGAATTGTATGAGTCCAATCTCCTCACAGCCATCAGAAAAGTGGCATTGGAACAGATCACTTGTTTGCCCAGTAAATCAAGGTGTGCGTCTTGGGGTCTAAGGAATAATAAATATAGTAAATAATCCTTGCATTTGATGTAGAGTCTTATCATGTCTCTGAGATGTCTCGAAACACTTCAGAGAATACACTGTAAAGTGAATTGACTGTATTGTGGGTGCACACAGGAAGACAGTAAAAGAGGGAAGTCCTTTCAGCGCAACAACCTTATTCAATATATTCCCAATGCATTGCCCTTTTCTCCTTAATAGATTTACTGCCCAAGGCCTTAAAGAGAAGAGGACAAAGCAAAATGATTTGCAATATGAGGGTGACGCATAAAAAAAATGTATTGAGGCCATCATGATTCTTTGATGTGTTTCAGAAGATAATATAAAAGAACTCAATTAATATACGTATAAGTATATTATTTAACAGTAATTACTTAGTTCTCAAACAGGAACCATAAATGAGTATTATCGTGGAATCAGCCTGGCTGAGAAATGTAAATCCCCAAATGAATTATCCCAGTACTAAAAACATAGCTAGTATATTTTAGATTTATGGTTGAGCAATCCACAACGGATAGTGAGAGACTTCTGAGGGTTTTAACATTTCCAATTAACTGGAAGTGGGAAATGCCAGATTAATTACATAAGAGCTCATGCCTTATTTACAAACTTCTCTCACAAAAGGTTTACTTTTCAGGCCACCGATAATTGCAACATTGTTAAAAGTGCTCAGAATTCGCAAGAGAAACGGTATGAGAGAAGCTTTTGAATTCTTCACTTTTAATCATGTTAAGTTAGCGTTTGCATCAACGAGCAGGCTCCATTTTGAACCCAATGGTATTTCCACTGTTGAAATACGCCCATGGTTGCTTTGAAGATTTGACCACACACCTCAGAATAAACCATACTGCATCGATTCGCAACATAAGCACAATGCCCTGGGGTACCATCTCATGTGAACGCTATAAACCTGTGCTTTTCCTGAGCTGCCAAAGTCACACCTGTATTGTAATGTTTTGTGCAGTATCGCAAATCATTCTCTTCTTTGAGAAGGAACTGCGGAAGGGTCAGCCCTTCTGCCACCTGCACCGGCCCATTTTCTTGCCATTCAAAAATAAGATCATTCATCGTGTAGCCAACTGCAGAAAGAAAATAAGGGTTAATGGAGCAACAGCATCAAGATGATCACGCCATCACAACTGGAGCAGCCCTGTCCAACCCAGTGGCCACTTCCACATTGATGAATCAATTTAACATGAGAAATAGAATATAGACACCAAAGTCACTCGCTTTGTGTGATCCAACGTGCATGGTTTCTGCACATGTCATGTTGCAGTTTTATTGTAATATATATCGTGCATGTTTGTTCTTGAGTAGCTGGATGCACCTATGAGAAATATCACACATTCCCTACTGTGTTGGCAGTCAGTCACTGGTCAGGCAGTCGCTGTTCTCATAGCCCGATCAGTTGTGTCGTCTACTTCCAGAAATATTATTCAATCGATTTGTGTCTTTCGAAAGTGTGCTACTGCGCAAATAAATATTTGCAAGACTTCAAGGGTATGAGATTGTGATTGCGTAAAGGATGGATAAATTCATTACAAGAAAACTTAATACTGCTAATTTGCAGTGCAGAAAGAGCATATGTAGTGCATAAAATGTGCAAAACACTATAGGGATAGGTATATATGTATATTGTTTGTTATGTATTGTATCTACGCCAAGTTCTTTTTTTATTATATAGTGGCCATTTCTGTTTCTTAGTGGCCACACCTGTGACAACTTGTTAATTTGGGTTGGACAACACTGCACTAGAGGCTTTTTTTTTAATAAAACATGTTAATAAACAACAACAACAACAAGATTTCATTTATAGTGTCTTTCACGTCGGGAGGACGTCCCAAGGCGCTGGACAGTTGGGTCGGGACCCGAGCAGGGGGGAAATGGTCAGGGTGAGGGGAGGGAAGGGAGGGAGCGAGGAGGGGGTAGAGAGTCGAGAGGGGAGCTGAAGGCACGGTCAAAGAGAAAGGTCTTGAGACCGGCCTTGAAGGAGGAAAGGGAGGAGGCGGCGAAGGCACTGGGGGATGGAGTTCCAGAGCCTAGGGGCTGAGAGGCTGAAGGCCCGACCACCAATGGTAGGGTGGTTAGGGTGGGGGATGTGAAGCAGACCGGAGCCAGAGGAACGCGGAGGGTACGGGCAGATAAGTAGGGGGATAGTAGGTCGGAGAGGTAGGAGGGAGCGAGGCCGTGAATGGCCTTGTAGGTGAGGATGAGGATCTTGAATTCGATCCTCTGGGGGATGGGGAGCCAGTGGAGGCGAGCGAGGGTGGGAGTGATGTGGTCACGAAGCCTGGTGCGGGACAGTACACGAGCTGCAGAGTTCTGAATGACCTGCAGCTTGTGGAGGGAGATGCAGGGAAGGCCGACGAGGAGAAAGTTCCCATTGTCCAGCCTGGAAGTCAAGCCACCTAATTTCCAGGCGTATTTCCTGGTCTCAGCTACCATTGTAATAATAATAATAATCCTTTGCATTTGATAGAGCGCCTTATAAAGTCTTCGAGACGTCTCAAAGCACTTCACAGAATATACTGTAAAGTGGAGTGACTGTATATTTTGTGCATGAAACGCGGCAGCCAATTGCGCACAGCAATGTCCCACAAACAGTCGTGGATTGAGTGACCAAATTATTATTATTACTACTACTACAGTTTATAGCTTTCAGGAGTGGTATAAATGTTTTTCATTTCGCTGCCCATGAGTGGCAATATTATGTTACATTATTTAATATATTATTGAAGAAATGTTTCAGTTCAAACGGACAGACTGCTAGACAGTTTCATGTCCATTTCTGTTCATTATCACAGAGCCCTGGTAATGCTTACAAAATAAAATATTTTACATAGAAGTGCACAAAGTGCTACCATCAGGCACATTCTGTGCATAGTCAAGTGTTGATTCAAGATCTGACATTGATGCAGATTGACATGCTGCAGGTTTGCTGTTCATTGCTCTGTACTCCAGCAGGATTCGAGTGCACTTGACTTAATACTTTCTAAGGGTTGCATATCTTCTAATGTATGCCCACTGGCAAACATTACTATAAAAGGGGCTGGTTGAATGTAACTCAATGTGGCATCTATTCACAAGGGTTTTGAGGATCTATAAAAATGTGATTTTCTGTGTTTTTTGTCCAAGATCCAGCATTTGCTGAAGAAATCTACACTTTCACAGATCACAAGGAAAGTTTGAATGAAGAAGACCCTTCACTACATTTGATCTCATCCACTCATAATATGCTCCCAACCACATCTCATCACAGCATCAAGCTATTTGATTTACAAAGCCTTTGCCAACCGATTTTAATAAGAAAATAAATTGGTAGCAATCTCATCTCTGAGTCAGGAGGTTGTGGTTCAAGACCCGCATTGGGACTTTGAGCTCACAATCTAGATTAGCACTCAATTATAGTGCGTTGCATTGTCAGTGGTGCCATCCTTCAGATGAAACATTAAACAAGGGCCCATCTGCCTGTTCAGGTGGACATAAAGATCCCAGGGCACTACTTGAACAGAGATAGGAGTTTTCCTGGTGTTCTGGTCAACAATCCCTTGACAGATTTGATACTTCACATCATGGCTGTTTCTGGGACATTCATTTGCTAAAATTGGATGCCATGTCACCTATAAAATACACAGTCACTACGCGATACAATAAAATCCTGTGAAGCATTTTGAGACATTTCAACAATGTGATAAATAAAGGATCATTTATTATTAAAATTGTGATAAAGGCTTGTGATACACAAAGGTGAGCAGAATTAAAGAGGTACAGAATTTTTTTTTTAAAAAATTAAGAAAATTAAAAGGTTCAGCAAATGTTTTGTTGTTCAGAGAGGTAGAAGAGATACAAGATAATAAGCTTTAAAATAATCACAAAATGAATTAAAGGGGAGGTTAGAAAATATTTGGTTGGAATATGAAATTCTCTGCCACAAGATAATAATACATTTGATATACATTTCATGTTGTGAGGCCATTTCAAAGCACTTCACAGGATATACGGTAAAGTGTAGAGACTGTCTTTTATAGGTGAAGATAAGTGAAAGAGGGCCCTTTTTTGTTAAAATAAAGGGAATTAGATTGATGTGCGAAGAGGAAGAATATTGTAGACTATGGATAGAGCAGGATTATATTGTCTGTTGTGGGCAAAAGCATCGGAACACACTTTATACAAATAATGACCCGTTTCTGTGCTATAACATTATATAACTTCTAAACGCCCCAATTTCCACAAGACAGTCTTGCGCTTGATCTTAATTTGGATGCCGCAATTATTAAGAACTGTCTTAAAATTAAGTATGCATTTTAGAATTTTCCATAATTTGGTGTGATCTTAAAGGCAAGATGTTTAAGACACAATGGTTTCAATTTCAGACCTTTAGAATTCATAGACTAATTATAGTAGAATCTTGTTAACGCTAGACTTTTCAGCGCTCCTAGTCATTACCAGGTGTTAAGAGTCCTATATAAATGGCAAGTTATTATTGTTATTATGCAGTTCATTACAACGAATTGCTTGTGGCCCCTATGCAATACACAAGCGCTGATTGTCTCGCACTATGTGCATGGGCTGGTCCCACCCTTCCATTAAATTGCTGCCAATGACACTTCCTGATGCTACATATATGTTGCCCAAGATGTAACCTCGGTTGTGACCAATGATCTGAAAGATGGCCATGTTGGCTTCTAGCTCTCTATAAATAGTCACCCTCTATAAATAAGTGCTGGTCATGAGGTCAACACTAGTGTCACTTCCTGGGCGCTGTTCATGTGCTGTGCATGGAAAGTGATGTTGTTGGCAATCCAATGATTTATACTCGGCCATTTTGGTTATAGTGAGCTAAAAATGAGGAACTTCCATTTTGCTTGATTAATGACTTTGCCGTTTCCCTGGGATACAGTTTTCAATGCATAAATCAGTTACCAAACTCCCTACCTACATCACTTCCTGTATGGGTTGCCTGAGCTGGCCATTACCCCTATTGAAACTGAGGAAGGAACAATTCACCAATTTAGTAAACAACTTATGTTAGAAACCTAGAGAAATACACTGCTACAACAAACTGCTAGACATTCAGAATAGATCCAAATTCAAAGTATGTAATTCTTCATATTAAAGTGAACTAAGCAGTAAATGAGCTTCCAGGGAGTCTTGTAACTGATTTATGCATTGAAAACTGTAGCCCAGGGAAATGGCAAAGTCATTAGTCAAGCAAAATGGACTCTGTTATGTCAAAGAAGTTCTTAATTATCTTGTACAGTTGTGTTAATACCATTAGCTTTAATTATTCTTAATAATTAAAATCATAAATTATTTCACAGCCCATTTTGTTTAACAAAACCTTGAGGCATAACATCAATAGATGTTAGAAAAGAATCAGATGCAACGACAGTTCGGATAGGTTCCCTGCATTTATTTCCCATATTTTCCACTGAACTTTCCATCCCACAGTCCCTTTGCCTCACTCCCTCCCTTGCCTCTTTCAAGGCCCTTCTCAAGACCCTCCTCTTCAACTGCGCCTTCGGTGACCTTCCTACCCCTACCCGCCCTGCTCTCCGCCCCTCCTGATCCCAAGCCCCTGGCCGGGTTCAAATTCCTGATTGTTCAGCGCCTTGGGATGACCTCTGGACATAAAAGTGTTTTACAAATGTAACCTGTTGTTTTAAATGTTGATAGTGCATTAAAACATGGGCCAGCAAGTGTACTCACTACACACTTGGATTGCTGGGGGTCTAGTGCCCTCTCTACAGGGACACTAACAGTTTGTGTTATGATGCTGAAAATATATAATTAATAATAATAATCCTTAGATTTGGTAATCCCTTCATGTTGGAAGGAAGTCCCAAAGCACTTCAGAGGATTTACTGTAAAATGTAGTGACTGTCTTTCGTGAGCAAATGAAGCAGCCAATTGAACACAGCAATGCCCCATGAATAGCCATGACCAATGACCAATTTTATTTTTAGCCCAGACACTGGCAAAACTCCCTTCTCTTTTTGAATATTGCCATGGATTTAAACGTCCACCTGAGCAGGCAGAGAGGGCCTTGGTTTAACGTTTCATCTGAAGCACAGCTTGTTTTGAGTGCTGTTTGTGGGAGCTGTTGAGAACTATTTCATCTTAATAATCTTTACGTTTGGTTTATTGTTCCATCACAAGGTCTCAAAGGGTTTCATAGGAATTACTGTAGAGTACTGGCTATTATTTGGAGGAGAACATGGCAGCCAATTTGACATAGTGGTGTCCCACAAAAAAGCCATGAAGTGAATGGTCATTTGAGGTTGGAATCAATACCTGAAATAAAAAGCTGGAAGTGCACAGTTGGTAAATCTGCTCTGATAAAGGGATTCACACAAAACAACAACCAAATAGTTTCTCCAATAAATATTCTGGGGACCTGAAGCCTTGGCTCTTACCAACCTGTGCCTAATAACTTCCAGCAATTCCTAATTAGAGAAATAATGATCATTCCATTTGATATAGTACCTATAATGTCTCAACGATTTTTAAAAAATTTCTGTGCAGGCAAACGCGGCAGCAAATTCATGCACAGCACAATGTCCCACAAGTAGCCAATTTTATCGAGAGAATTGTTGGCCAGAAGACGGAGGAAAAAGAGAGCACAGAGGAAAACCCCTTCTCTCTTCAAATAGTGTCATGGGATTTTTAACATCCATTCAGAGAGATAGGATGTCAATTTAATGTCTCAACGAAAGGATTGTACTTCTGATAAGGAACAACAACAATAACTTGCTTTTATATAGCAACCTTCATACAGGATAGTGCCTCAGAATGCTGCATACTCCCAGCACTGTACTCAAGTGTTAAAAGTCCCTACATGTTTTGAACCCACAACCTTCTGACTCAGAGAAGAGGATCCTACCAACTGAGCCAAGCTGACACTTAGCAAGATTCTTTAACTGCTGTTGGAAATATATATTATAACAGCCTAAAGCTGATTAGCTGGCCAAAAAATAAATTAAATTCTCGGACGCAAGTTAAAAAATAATAAAACTACTTAAAGAATATATTAAACATTAATCCCAACTATTATTGTTTAGCAATAGCTCTACAATTAAAAATGCAACACAATTGTAACTGACTTGAAGAACGTAATTTTGTGTGAAGACAGATTTTGCAGTTAGCCAGATGGTTAGATTTTACACTTTTTTGCATAATAAACTCTTCAAATGAATTTCTGCACTTCTGTTTTGTTGCACACTGCAGAACATAGAATGTATGTAAGGATATTACTGTATGGCTTTCTACCACTTTAACCAATGTCTTCAGCAGCAGTGTGACAAGAATAACTACATTAACCACAATGCTTGACCTTTACTGAGAAACTGCATGCAGGATACAGGGTGTCTATTCTCAATGGATTTTTCTTTAAATCCACTAAAGCTATCTGGTATTTGTTTATTGTGGGCAGTATGTTTATAATACCAAATACAGAAATTAATAGCAGCCAATTTATTTTACATGTTTTTCCTTTCCCTCTATGACGCAGTCCAACTCATGACCAAGAATTATGACTTTCATAACTGAGAGATTCAATGAATATGTATTTTGTACATTATTATATTGGGTTGTAAATTACAGAAACTTCATCATTCAGCATACATGAATGGTATTTAAATTACTTCGGGAATTAACTTGCTCCATTTGCTCCGTGCAGAGAATTTTTTAATTTGGTCAGCCGGGTGTTTGACTCGTGTGGAAACCCATCATCATGCTTAAGAGTATCCAAACCAAACTGAGATTTCCATGCATCCCACCTACACATAAAAATTCCATATATATTGTTGGAATGGATGCGCACTCTCCCTGGAGGGCTGCATCCAGCTTACCTATTTCTGGAAAATATTAGGCATAGGTTAGCAAGAGCCAAGCCTTGCGGACCCAGAGTGTACTTTGGGGTACTGTTGGAGTCTAACCAATTAAAACTGCATAGCTTGCCACTCTCTGGCAAGCTTTCCTGCTGCTTGTCCAGCTAGGACCACCCTACCCGTTACGGCTTAATGGCAGGGTTAACAGGAGTTGTCAAGGATTCCTCAGTGACTGGTCTGCCCTTCCAGGTCCTGTTGATGAGCCAGGCTGGGTGTGCTGTCATCAGCATTGCCCTGGAATACTGCGGATCCACCTGGCTCGGGAACCGGACTACCGGGACTGCCATAGAGGGCTGGCTTGATGCTTTTGTTGACCTTTTAGAATTAGAAACCTTGGTGTATGAATCAGAACAATGCCCTTAGTTTTAACTAACACTTAAATGAAGATAAAGATTACCGTTAACAATGTCAAAAGACTGTTAAAAAAATTACCAATTGCCTGCCTTGATAGAAAGTTAGCTTTGTTGGTGGAATGATACTTAAGTTGCAATATTGAAAAAACAATATAAACACCTTTTGAGAAGGATAAAAATGGTAGCACATTTATAGGAAATGTGAAAGACAGCAAAAAACCATTGGTGATGGAATTTTCATATTTCAAAGCACTTCACTGGATTTTGCTGTAAAGTGTAGTGATGCGATACCTTGTGGCCAAAGCGGCAGCCAATTGATGCACAGCAGTGTCTCACAACCAGCATGAAGTGACTGAACAATTTTATCTAGGGATTGTCAGGAATGGGAGAAACATCCTACTGTTTTCTAATAATGCAATGGGATCGTTAACCTGTCCACCTGAATGGGCAGATAGGGCCTCAATTAAACCTTTCATTGTCATCTACCTGCAGGAGTGATACACACTTTCATCAGCTTGGCAAAACATTTTGTAGGGTTTAGCTGGGATGTGGGTTGGATCCATTAACTGTTATCAAGCTGTACATTCACAAACCCTACAAATTACTCCAGGCCTATGGCTCATATCAAGGGAAGAAAATCAAATTTAAAGCTTCAGATATTTCACATTGATTTCTTTGCCTTGGATCATATAACAAAAGCGACATAAATTTGTTTTTCCTATTTATCTCTGTGCCAGACCAAACATCCTGGCAACCTTTACAAGTGTTTTAATGTCATTGCATTCAAGCTTCAAGATTAATTAATGACTGGAACAGATTGCCAGGAAGGGTAGTTGATGCCGGGATGCTTGGAGTTATTTGAAAAGCAGCTTGATGCTATGCTGGATGTATCATAGAGCGAGTATCCTGAAAGGATAGGATCAGATGGACTGAAGGGTCTTCTTCATCCAAACCAATCTTGTGATCGTGGGTGGAGAAGTTCCTCACTGAATTTGTAACTATTCACAATCTAGATAGGGAACGTCCTTTGTCAAACCAGTAAAAAGACTGGCGGTGATGAGCAAGCTACTTACAACTTTCCAACTGCATTATACACGTTTGAACATCCATCGGGAAATTTTTTAGATCCATAGGGCACGAAAGAATTAAAGTCAATCTGAAAGATTAAATCAACAATAAGCAAGCCTTTATTTTTCATGCACAGTGATTATAAAAAGGTGTTGGAAAACATACGTTTTTAAAATTCATATGCAAAAGATATTATTGATCAACTAAACACCCTGTGTCACATCATACCAGCAGGCATTTTTTGCTGAGGCTCACAAGTTATATTGTTCCAAAAGGAAGTTACATATTAATGGTAGCTGCAGTTTGTCCTTATCAACAAGTAGGTTCATATTGAACAGGTACTTTCTAAAAACATTATATTTAAGTTTTACTGAGATTGCAAATGTTTATAACCAGAAACACCAGAAACATATAGTAATAAAGTTCACATTGTGCATCTTGACATCTTGACGAGTTTCTTAAACTCATCAAGATTAAGAAAGGGATAAGAGTTACAAAGGGTAAAATGCCTACTTTCAGAGAAGGTTGAGGGGAGACTTGATAGAAGTCTTTAAAAATCATGAGGGATTTCTATAGAATCAGTGATACAGTAGTGAGAGGCCATCAATTAAAAATAATTACCAAAAGAGCAAAGAGGGGAATTTGAAGAAATTTTGTTACGCAGAAAGTTGATGGGATGTGGAATATCCTCCTGGAAATTCTGATTGAGGCATTCAAGAAGGAATTAGATATATATTTAAAAGAGAGTAAATTGCACGCATATGGGGAAAGGACACGTAAATAGTATGGACTCAATTGTTCTTTCAAAGAGACAGCACAGGCATTATGGGCTGAATGGCTTTTTCTATGCTGTAAAATTCTATGGTATTACGGTTCTCTTCCTTGAGTGGTATGAGTGTAAAGTAACATCGGAGCTAATTATCACCGCAGTGTGAGGTATTCAGTATGAAATACACAAAGCAACCACTAGGTGACAAGCATTGCTTCCCAAATTTCTGACCACCAATTGGTTTTAATTTTTTTAAAAATGGTTTCAAATTGAAGCCCTTATAATGTGTGGTTAGATTGTTTTGTTTAACAATTGTTTTTTGGGTTCAATCTCTTTGAGCAAGAATTTTTTTATGATTTGGGCATTTTTATGGAGTTAATTTCTTAGCCTAGAAGTATGGATTTTGTAAGCGGTTCAACCTTCAGAAAGCAATATTCACAAAAAATAGAACTTAGAACAATGTAGAACCTAAAATTGACAATAATATTCAATGGTTCAAGTACAAGAAAATGGGTCAGTGAGAACCCTAAAATGAACAAACCACTTACCTGGAGTAGGGCACAACTTGTTGGCATTCCTTAAAAGCATTCCTTAAATAATAACAATAATCCTTAGTGCCTTTCATGTCAGGAGCATGTCTCAAAGTGCTTCACAGGATTTACTTGTAAAGTGCAATGGCTTTGTATATGGAAAACGAATGTGGCAGCCAATTGCACTCACCAATGCTCCTTAAACAACCATGAAGTGAATGACCAATGTTTTATTTGGGGGATTTTTAGCCAGAAACTCCCTTCTCTCTTTGAATGATGCCATGGGATCTTTAATGTCCACTTGAAGAAACAAACATGACTCAGTTTAATGTCTCATCCAAAGGACAGTACCTCTGACATTGCAACCCCCGTAATTGCACTGAAGTGAGGCTTGAACCCACAATCTTCTGATTCAGTATAGGCTGAAGCCTAATAAGCCAGGCTGATAGATGAATGATCTACATTAAGACTAGATTTAAGCAGAAATTAAATAATAGCGTAATTGTACTCACAGTCCTGTAAGGAGAATTGATACTGTCTAAGCACAGAAACTAAAATGGAAATTGGATTAATTTGTGCTAGTTAAAAGGTTTGAATACATACCTTATAGAATAGAGGACGTTTCCATTTTTGAAAATTCGCAGCAATTTGTTATCTGTTGTAACTTCATGAAAGTTTGCTCCTTTTTCGTTTGCAAAAAACAAATCTGGTTTCCAGATTGAATCCAACATAGAAGGGTCCAGGTCCAGAGAGTCATCTGGATACTCACTGTATGCCAGTCGCGGGTCATTCCACTGCTGCCTCAGGAAGATGTTAACACGGTAATCCTGTATTCAATAAAAGTACATGTTTAAACTCTTTTCCTTCCCGTTTGGAGATTTGACCTCAATGTAGGAGGAGCCTTGCCAATGGCAGAAGGTGAGGCACACTAACCACTGCAATAGGATTGCCTGAAATCACCTGAGTAAAATGCTTCAAACTGAACTGCACCAAATTTAAACCATTGACAGCTGCATTCACATTTGATTTTCTCGTAGTCCCCAAACTATGCATAGACAGGATGTCCTTAGGCAGGCACATGATGGTTCCTCTAAGATGCTTACAATCTGTTAATTGTGCTGGTGTGAATGAATCCCTAAAAATGCAGTGTTATTCAGGTTTAAAGTATCACAAGTGTTGTGGAGACTGGGTATAATAATAATAATCCTTGCATTTTATATGCGCCTTATCACGTCAGATCATACCACTTGCAGTACAAATTTCACACTTATTGGCCAAAGAATAATTTTAAAAGCAAAAACAAAAGAAAGTTAAAAATAGGAATCAAAGAACATATTGCCTTGCTACATTAAAATCATAGATGGAACCAATTTAATTCTGAAAAGGCTGAGGGAGAGACCGTTATCCAGAAGTCAGTGCTTAGACTCAAAATTAATGTTCAAGGCAGGACACTAAACAGTGGGAATTGTCACAACATACACCACATGTTTCTACCTAAAACAAGGGGCGAGGGGAGGAGAAGAGAATATTAGAGGGAAAAGATATATTTCAAAATCACATTGAATCATGTGAGATATTTAATTATTTTGAGTGCCATATACTGCTCATTAATTTCAGAAAATGTCAGCTTTAACCGCAGGAAGCTTCTGTGCCAGCACTAAGGCTCAGGAAAGGAAGACTTGCTAATATTCTGTAAGATATTTCTATCCTGAATCTAGCTTAGAAATAATTCAACCATATAAATAAATGACATTAGCACTATTCCTTCAAAAAGTGACCTATTGTCTTTCATGACCTATTCTGATGTTCCTTGAAGCCTTGATTTAAACATTATCCTGATGTGAAGAATGAATTGAACAAAACTACAATCGGGTGTCAGCTTCATTCATTCGGTTGCACTCACGTCTCTGTGTCAAAGATTGTGGGTTCAAGCCCCATGTTGGCAATTTGAATTTACAACGTATTTACAACTCCATTGCTGCGCTGGGTATATGCTGCATTACTGGAGGTGCCATCCTTCGGAAAGATATTAAACCGGGGTGCAGTCTGCCATTAAAGATTGCATTGCACTATTCAAAAAGAGGACGTTTCTCCTGGTGTCATACTCAACACCAGATAAAAATTTTCATTTACTTCATTGTTCATTTTACTTCATGTAGAACATTGCAAACTGGCTGCTGAATTTGCCTACACAAATAGAGTAGGCGCCCTTTACAGGAAATCAGTAAAGATCTTTAATCAAGTACTAGAATGCAATAAAAATAATCCTTTCATTTGATATAGCGATGTTCATGTCAACAGGATGTCTCAAAGAGCTTCACAGGCTATACTGTAAAATGTATATTTTAAAAATATATATATATATTTTGTAGGTGAACAAAAGTGTCAATTTGGGCAAAGCAAAATGCAAAATGTCAGTAGTTAGCGGCAAGCAGTACCCCAAATTAAAATAGCATGGGTTTAGACAAATACCAGTCCCAATTTAGATAATTTCTTGATAGATCTACATCGGAGCTGGTCATAATAGGAACCTGGATTTATTTATTAATACACCACAAGAATTAGATAATAGTTGGGAGTAATTTAAATGTTTTATGTTATGTGGTAACAGCTTTGGATATTCAAGAAATTGATTTGTAAATTATTAAACTGCTTAAAAAGGCTTAAACAGCAATGTGGCTAATTGTTATAATTAATCATAGCATCACATTTGGGAATTAATGTGGTTTCCCTGAAAGTAAAACATCACTAGCTGTATTTATGGGATTCCTTGGTGTGATAATTTAGCAGCTGGAGTAATTCAACAGAGAACAACAACTTAGATGACCTTGACACATGCTTGGAAATAGCTCCATTGAGGCTGAAATCTGAAACCAGCATTTTGTAGCTCTACCCTCACAAATGAATTCTGTTTTACTATAATCAGCACTTTGACCATTGAGCAAGACCTGTAATTTGAAATCAACTCAACCTTGTTAGAGAAATGAAGCTGTGCTCCTCCCACTTATTGTGAACACAAAATAATAATTCTTGTATTCACATTTGATATAGCGTCTGTAACATTGAACCGCCTCTCAGTGCGACACTGTAATTATTGTTAAAGATAGTTGTTAACTATCTAGGTGTAGCCAATTTGCACATATCAATGTCCCACAAATAGCCATGAAGTGAATCAATGAAATAACTGGAGGATTATTGGCTTCAATTGACTCAGTATCCTCTGGCAAAGTCTCCTGCTCCTGATCACAATTCATTGAATTATTGCCAGGGAGGGTGATTGAGACCAGGAGATTGAATGTATTTAAAAAGCAGCTTGATGCTGTGATGGGAAGATGAGTAAGGGAGATGTTCCGGAGGGATGAGATCAGATGTGCTGAGGATGCTTGTTCATCCAACCAATCTTGTGATCACAATATTGGTCTAGATTAAAAAGGCCTTTTGCCACATCCAATCTTATCCCTCCAGAACAACCCCCTACTGTACCCCCATCAATGTATTCTAAATGAGTTCAGTGTCTCAGCATCTACCACCTTTCCTGGCAACCTGTTATAGTCGTTGATTACCCTCTGCGTGAAAAAAAACTTCCCGGTATTTGTCCGGAAATTGCCCTTTACAACTCTAAACCTATGTTGTCTTGTTCTACTGTCTTGATACATCCTGAAGTATTGATCTGGGTTTACTTTTTCAATTCTATTCAAAATGTTATACACCTTTATGAGGTCCCCTCTGAGCTGTCTTTTCTCAAGCCAGAGTTCTTGTGAAGTGAGCTAGACATGAATGTGGTACTTGTTTATATACAATGGGCAAGGATAAGGTCATTGGCTCTAAAGGTCAGACTGATGACAACTTTTACTGCCACAATGCTGGGCGAAAGAGGGCTACTGGTGCCTGTGGAGCAATAGCTCAGCTTTAGTCACTGTTGTCAGGAAATGGGAAGAAAATCAGAAGGAAAAACTGAAGGAGGGAAAATAAATAAAAGAAAATTTCCAGGAAGAAGTTCCATCTGGGTCTAGATTTACTCTATTTATCTAACATTTCAGAGTGTGTAGAATTTGGCAAAATGTTGAATTCAGGTTTAGCTTTTAGAAATTGTTTTACTGTAATTCTTAAAGTAACTTACAGAAAATCAGCTTAAAAATTAAGTTTCTATATTCTGGATACTCTGAAATGCTCCATAAATCTAGACTTAGGTGCAACTTTCTCTTCGATATTGCACAGGCATCATACTATACTGGTGGAAAATCTACAGCAGAATTGATGGACACATCCAAAGTCAAAGGTTTTTGATGGACACTGACACTGTTCAAGCTCTTGCTTGGAATGTTCTTGGGGAAAGATATAAATTGTGATTAATTTCCCTGTTAAGGTAAATAACCAGAAGGTGCCGACCATGAAACCTCAACAGATATAAAATGGAGTCTGTAAAATTACATCCTGTTTTTATGTTCCTCCTTGGCGTGCATATGTGGAACTCTTGGTCTGATTTTACTCTGAAGCATAATAATGGTTTCTGCATATGACCAAAATTAATTGGGGGCCAGCATTCTAGGAAATGAGTGCTGCCACCTTGTGGCCATTTAGTGTCTAATGCTATATTCAGTACAGAGATGGTGTTATGGAATATCGCAAACTTTGGATTATGTTCCTCTTTAAAATATTTCTCTTTGAAATGTTATTGCATTTATCTACGTTTTCATCTGCTAGTCTGAGCAACTATTTCTATTCTAACACAGTAAAACAATAGTATGTGTAATAATACAGCTGTATTCCTTGCAGGGCTGCTGCAAGACAGCTTCATGTCACATCGTAAAGTAAAATTGTCAGGTCATAAACCCCTAAAGGAAAACAGCTGTCCAAGGGAAGAAAAGCCAATTTAGAAAAGAATCAGTTTTGTTTTACATTATGTGTAACATCTGGTTTACCGAGGAAAATTAGAAATAACTATCTTTACTCACCATAGTTGTCTCCGCAATTGAACCAAAGCTGTTGATAAAAATGTTGCAGCTGACATTAACAGGTGGGCCTGAAAAATATAATAACGAGCAAAACATTGAAATGCAATTATTGTCGTAATCATAACATGAAGAGGAATAGCACTGGGCAGAAAATGAGATAAGGAAGAATGACAGAAACGGGATTGATTGACTGACTGTCAGTAGATTTGGTGGGGGTCTGAGCTTTCAAATAGAATTTCCCTAACTTTAAACTTTCAATGCCACAGTTAGTAAATTTACGGACAAATGGAGAATTCACATGATTGCAAGAGAGGTTTTGATAAAGAAAGCCCTTTGGCCCATTTGATCTCATCCTCCCAGAATACCCATCTCACCATCGTTCATCACAGCAAACTCTTTACATGTGTCCAGTGACCTGGCATCAGCCACCCTTTCTAGTGACGTGTTCGAATCACCCTCTGGTTAAACCAATATTTTCTGGTGTCTTCAGCAACTCAGGGCCTACAAAAGTTAGGGGCTTGAACTCGACAGATGGTGCTGGTCCAGTTCTTGATTTTTTTGTGTCTGCCATTGATTTTTTGGAATCACGGATTGGACCCCCTCAATCTCACTTTAAATCAGATGATGGCAAAATTCAACAGACTACTTAAAAAACAACACAAAAAAGGCAATTCTGCTTCACAGAAAGCAACCCTGTTAATTGCAAATCCAGGATGGTGGACGGTAAAATATGAGTTAGATTATTCAGTAGTCGGGGGTTGGGGTATTTCAAAATACATTTTAATCTGTTTCTTAATTCGGGAAAAAATGTGTTTAACAATTCCCCGATTTTGACACAATAAAATAAATCATTTTGACCATGTAAAAACAATCCACAAATGTCACTCTAGGCCCAAAATTTCTCCTGGTTCAATTTGGTCTTAATTTGGAAAGAGGTTCTTTTTAAAAATGGTAGAAAACCAGCTTCCAAGTTAAGACTGAATTTCAAAATGTTTCCACAGTCCTAGGTAAGCATAATTTTTAAACTAAAAAGGATATGACTAAGTCGAATTTGAGGCCCAGTATTGGGTGACCACTACAGCTAATTTTACCAATGTTTACTTTAGTCTTGCTGGAGTTAAAGTGGACACCTACCATGATGTTACCCAATTCTATCAGAGGCTGAATTCTATCTTTAGCAGTTTACCTAGCAGTAAGTAGGAATGTGGTTGTTAGTTGATTGGCAGATGGGTTTTCCGGCGGTAATAACTCCTACAAAAAATTGGTCACTTCCATCCACAACTGTTTGTGGGACACTGCTGTGCGCGATTGGCTGCCGTGTTTTGCCCACAAAATATACAGTCAATTCACTTTACAGTATATTCTGTGAAGCGCTTTGAGATGTCTCGAAGATGTAATGAGACACTATATCAATTGCAAGGATTATTATTATTGGTTATTATTTAATAGTGTAGAGACAAAACATAACAATCGTTGCATTTGGCATAGCACCTTTCATAATGGAAGCACAACTGAAAGCACTTCACAGAATTTTCTATGAAGTGCAGTAACTGTGTTTGTAGGCAAATGCAGCAGACTATTTGCACACAACAATGTCCCATGAAATCAATGACCAATTTTTTTATTTGTTGACCAGGACACCAATTCTTTTTGAATAGTGCTATGGGATCTTTAACATCCACCTGAACCCACAGCATGATAAAAAGGGAAAACAGGAAAGCCACTTTCATCTTCCACGGGCTGTTTTTTATTGCTCTAATATTGTGCTAGCATTACTTTCTATTTCTAGGGTCTGTCCTTGCATTCTTTTCTGAAATCATTTCTCAACACAAGCACAAAATGATTACAGACAACTGTGATCAGCTCCAATCTTCTCACTTGTGCACTCGCCATCTGGCACGAGGCATTTGTGTCGGAAGTTATTAGTTTGGATAAGTAACACTAAGCACCGCTTTCTTTCGATGAATATTCACAAGGAGTACATGAGGAAGGTAAAATATAAGAATGGAGAATTACTGTTTCGCTCATACCATCCAGCTTTCTATGCCAAGGCATGATATGGCCTCTTGTTCTCATCAGGTTCTAAAAAATGTTGTAATAAATAATCCTTGCACCCTTCCCATAGGGAAGATGTCTCAAAGCAGTTCACAGGATAAACTGTAAAGTGCACTGACTGACCTATAATGTATAGGTATTTTATAGCGACCAATTTGCACAAAGCAGTGTTCCACAAGTAGCCATGAAGTGAATGATTAATTTTATCTGAGGGATTGTTGGCCTAGACATCAGGAGAAACTCTCTTGTCAAACAATTCCATGCTATCTTTAAAGTCTACCTGAAAAGGCAGACAGGGCTTCGGTTTAATGTCTCATCCGAAGGATGGCACCTCCATCAATACAACACACTCTCGGCACTGCAGAGAGTGCAAGCCTAAATTTTGAGTTCAAAATCCCAATGTTGGGCTTGAACCTGCAAAGTTCTGACTCAGAGGCAAAAGTGCCACCAACTGTGCTAGGCTGATATCTGATAAGATTCCCATTTACTAACGTCTCACTTGGAACCAGAAATTGCCACTCTTCCTCCAGCCTGGAAACTGTTCTGAAAATAATTGTTCCCAAATGGGCTTTGTTCTCAATGTAATAGGGAAGCCCTGGCTAAAATTAATGATTTCATATATATTCACGGTCTACCACTTTATTGATTTATGTTTAATTCATTCAAAGTGCTGTTGTAATGTGTGGAATGTAGTTTGTTCTCAGTAAGTGCCATTAACCCACAAATCTCATTGATTGTGACTTTAATGTAAAGCCTGCGGGAGGATACGAGTTGTAAAACTCTTGGATTTTGTGGCGAGGGGCAGTGAAGGACACAACTTTTTCTTGTTTGTCGCCCATAAAATATACACTTTACAGTATATTGTGAAGCACTTTGAAATGTCACAAAAACGTGATAAGACGCTATATGAAATGCAAGGATTTCTATTAATATTGCTTTACATTTCATTGCATTCTGTTCCCTCAGCTTTAGGTGTGGGTGGGTGGGCTGAGTGGAGTGAGAGACATATTTCATTTTTGAGCATCCAGAATTTGGAAAACTTTTAAATATTGTTTTAATTTTGAAATCTATTTTTTATAAGATCATTAAGAACTATAGAAAACTGTCATCAAAGTTGAGATTGAATTCCAGAAATACTACATAAATAGAGTGAACCTAGATTCAGGTAAAAAAAATCTCTCCTTAGATTTCCCCAGACTCAGAGAACAGTCAGGTGACAACATCACAAGATTGATTTGTGAAATATAACTCGATCCAAATCAAGGGTGTGTTAGTACCTTCTTTATTTGTCAATCCAAACATTCCTAAATCTACCACCCAAAACCACACACTTTGTCCCACTGACAGTGTCTTTTTGTACTTCCGCTCTTATTCTTATTGGCGCTTTTGTTAATTGTTAATTTAGTCTTAAAGAAGTATCCAACAGTTTGGATGAAGAAGGCTTTTTGGCCCATCTGATCTCATTCTTCCAAACTACACACCCTACCATCTTCCCATTACAATATCAACCTGTTTTTTTAAAATGAGTCGAGGCTTCAAGCACCCTTCCTGTTCCACTTTTTAATTATCTTAAGGGTAAATGAATACCTGCTGTCTAAACTGAAATTGGTCACTGTAACTCTAAACCTGTTGTTCTGCGATATTGGTTCATCCAAAAATGTTGTTCTTGATTTACTTTTTTAATTCCAATTAAAATCTTGCCTACTTCTATCAGGCTCTTCTCTGAGATGCCTCCTTTCAAGACTGAAGACCCCTAGCTTGTTTAACCGTTTGCTCATAGTTCATTCCTCTACCACTGAGGATAATCCTTGTTACACTCCTATGCATCACCTTTATGACCTGGGAAGCCCCCAGATCACCTCAGACTCAAAGAGGAGTCAGGTAATCTGCTCCCTGGACCACAACCATTTTCTCTCTTAAACAGGCGACTGTGAGTGCATGAGAATAGCGTGGGATAGTTCTCTAGTTCTGGAGGATAGGAATTCCTCATGGACTAGCTCCATTGTGTCTGTGCTGGCTGTAAAATAACAATGCATTCAGCCTTTCCTCCCATGATCCTGTAAATTACTCCTTTTTGCAAACCTATCTTGTTCCCTCTTGAAAGCGAATGTTCTACCTCAAATAATGCATGGAGCAGGGGATTCCACATTCCAGCACCTCTCTGTGTAAAAGAAAATCCTCCTAACTTCCCTCTTTCATCTCTTGTTCATTATTTTAAATTGATGCCCTCTTGCAACTGATTTTAGGCCCAACTATTGTGCTGACATTAGGGGCAGGAGGAAGTCCAGTATTGCATAGAATCTTCATAGAAGGAGGCCATTCAGCCCATCTTGCCGGTGCCAGCTCTTTAAAAGCATTATCCAATTTTCCCTACTCCCCTGCTCTTACTCCATAGCCCTGCAATAAAAAAAAGATAATAATTTGGTCGCTCAATCCACAATTGTTCGTGGGACACTGCTGTATGCAATTGCCTGTTACTTTCTCCCATAATTCACTTTATATATTCTGTGAAGCGCTTTGATTCGTCTCGAAGATGTGATAAGGTGCTATATCAAATGCAAGGATTATTATTATATAACCCTGCAATAGATAATAATGATAATAATAGATAATAATAATCCTTGCATTTGCTACAGCGCCTTATCATGTCAACAAGACATAGATGGAATAATGCAATTTTTTTAATGGTTTGAATGTGGTAAGAAACATCACATTTTTTACCGTAAACTATCTTAGCTCCAGCATCACAGAGCATTTCTTGCTGCATCAGTTCGAATTTTTCCATTTCCACAACAAGGATCATTTTGGCTCTTCCAAGCATTAGTCTAGTGCCAAATGATGAGTGGTTTGGGATCACAGACTCATTGTGAATTGGCCTTCGGTGAATATTTCACTTCGAACTTTTACAGTCAGAGATATGCCAATAACACCTACTTAAATGTATGAAGCTCCATTCACACAAAATACAACAACAAAATTACATTTGTATAGCAATAATTGCAAAGCGTAATTT